TACTTTGCTTCCTATTTGTTTTGCGCGCTTTATTTCTTGTATTATTCTGGTGACTTTCCAGTTAATATTTCCATTATATTGTCGGAAATTGTCATTTATTGACAAGCCCATGCTGGCATGTATTACTATTTTTAATTGTGGTACGTCATTGTTATATCCTTCAAGTGCTTTGATTAGTTTATAATCATTTGTTAAATTAGGTTTGCCTTCTTTTAATGTTATCCAGTTTTTCATCATCTCGTCAGAGTATGATTGTTCAGTAGGTATATAAGTCATGAATGTCTGTATAATGTTACTTCCAGTTTTTATTACAGTGTTTATTATTTGTTCCGCTGTTCCATCAGTTGTAACTCGAATATATTTCATTCGTTTTTGGTTTAATCTACATTGTCGAAGGAATATATTGTATAAGTTATTGTCAGGTGCAGGTTGTGTTAACGGTGCTTTTATAGGGTCATAATTGTGGTTTACGCCTTCTCTTTTTTCAGGAGTGTGGTAATGTTGTTTTTGTTTCTTAATTTTTGCAAATAATTCTATAGACTGCTTGGTTACTTGGTCGAGCTCATTTTGTTTATCAAGAGAATTGTTTATTCGATTGGGCTTTGCCTTCTCTTTTTGTTTGATGATCTTTTTATATGATAATTGGTTTGCCTGGTTAAGTCTATGTGAGTCTAGCAGGTGTTTACTATAGTTGGGCGTCTTCTTTCTTTTTCTCGCTACTGCGTTATGCTCAGCGGGTGAATAACGTTTCACAAGCAGGTCAGGGACTAGTGTACCGGGTCTCGTGCTCAAGTCTGAAATTATCTCGCTAGAGTGAACCGCAGTAGATACACTATAACCTGGCAATTTTTGTTTAGAGGTTAGCTTCCTCTGGTTGATTATAGGTTGGTTGTGTATGAGTATGAGCTCTTGGTCATTGTCTTTTAGTATTCCAAGTTGTTTTTGGAGTTTGTTAGAGAATATGATATAGTCGAAGTCTTTGCTGAGTATGTCTATTTTTATATTTTCGAATAGATGGTTATTTATTTTTATATCAACGGT